GTAACTATTGTATATTTAATATTTTCTCTATGACTGAGCCATACAAAATCTACTGACGTGCAACCCTGTATCATTACTTTAACTGGGGACTAACTAATCCCAAGACTTTTGAGTAAACTCTCAGACAAAACAAAAGAAAGCAAAACATAATTGTGGCTGTGGCATAAAGTGAAGCATCAGAGAAGATCTAGAGAATTCATCTAGTGGTATGGGTTTGGGATGTATATGTTGTATTTATTTATTTGTATTGCCCCAACATTCATTAAGTCTGCATTGACTTACATTGACATTTTGCATTTGCTATTTTGCTGCTGATTTGTTGCTTTTGAAAGAATCCCTGTGGAGCTGTTTGTAATAATAATAATAAAAAGACTAAATAATCATGTTAAAAAAACAAAAACTATTGCATGGTATTATTGCCCAATTAGCAAATAAGCTTTCATACTTCAATATCCTGTAAAAAGAGAAAGGGAAAGAACAATGCAAAAATGGAGAACGAATGAATCGTGGACATGACAGTTCTAAAATTAGGTTTAGAAAATCTAAATTAGAAAGCAGGCAGTATGGCAGGTCTAAGCTAACCTAGGGGCTATCACAGAGTGGAATGGAACTTCTGTGCCACCTGATGCTCTCCTCTTTAATCTTCCAACGTGGTAGCCTAGATGGACAAACCTCCACCATTTGTGGGCCTTGGTGTTTACTTTGTCATGTTGTGAAGAAGTTAGATCTTTTACAAAGGCGTCATGCTGGCATTATGATAAAATAACTCCTGTTAATATGGGATAAGTGACCTCTGATAGGCTTCAGTCTCTCAAATTTTGTTTTGGAGTCAGAGGCAACCAAGTGTACAAGCTCCTTTTCATTCCTGGGTGATTCTTGCATGTTTCACAGGAACATTGAATAAAGTGTTGAGGGCTGAGATACAACAGCCTCCTCATGGAAATCCAGATGGTCCAACCCTGTTGGCTTTCCAGAAGGCGGTAAAAACCTGATTTTTCCCATAGGCACGAGGGCTGAATTGTTAGCCGAGCTTGATATTGGTGAATCTGTGATTGAGGCTTAGGTGTGAGATGCATCGGCTTTTGGACTTTGCCTTTCATTTTATTATGTTTGTTGCTTTTGTGTTTATCTTGTTTTTATTGTTTTGCATTATGAGTGGCACAGAGTTATTTGCTTAAGATGGGTGGCCATATAAATTTCCTAAATTTCTATGGCCACTCATCTTAAACAATGGGGAAAAGGCAGTAATATAACCTCCCATCAACTTGATATCTTTATGACGCATGGAGGCAGCTATTGAAAGTGAATTTTGTCTGGACAGTATCTGTAATGGAAAGAAGGTATAACCTTGAGGAACAGGAGGAAGAACCACAATCAAGACAATGGTCAGATAAAAGAAATCTGAGTCCCAATCAGAACTGTAACCTGAGAAAACGTCTCAGACAAGCCCCTCCCTAGTTCTCACGAAGATAAGGTAACAGAGGGGGGAAGCACATTCAAACTTGCAAGATTCTGTTACAATAGCTCTATAATAAAAGTTGTATTAGCCTGTACGATTTGGTTTCCTAGCTTGATCTACCTCAAAAGATTGACAGTATCGTTTCCAAGTGAGATTAAGTAGCCCTTTCCTTCCAGATGTCAAAGAGAAAGTTACTATCCCAGCATTTCCTCTGATGTCTTGTTTTCTGTATGAAGGGAAGGAACCTAATTCCCACAATCGTTCTTTGAATATGTGAAGCTGAAAGAAAGTCATGCCTCTATAAATGGTTGTAAAAAAATTAAATAAACTGTTTTTGATGACTGCAATATTTTAGATGGAGCCAGTAACTTGACAGAGAAATGTACACGTATTGATTGTAAATGCAACACTTTTTAAAACTGTTACTTGCTTTAGGTACACATTGGTTCAGATTCTCAGCAACAAAAGCAAGCTTGGATTCTTCACATGGTGAATGTAATGGGTAACCAGGCTCTGAAAGACCAGATTTATTTACTTAATTTAATTTGTTTGGGTTTAGTCGTAGTCTGAAAAAGAAGATGGGCTGAATCAAGACTAAGAGGTCCTCCTCACATCTCCCTAACTTGGCACAAGAGTGCCCCTGTGATTGCTTTTTTCTGCCATGTCCTCATGGTGTTGCCTTTGTTTCATCCCTAGCCCACAGCTGAGCCAGCTTAAAGTCATCCTTAACTGTTCTAGTTTTAGAGCAGCTTGTCTTGATACATGTTCTGCCATGGAATTGATCTGCCAGGCCTTACCCATGATGCATTGCTGATGCACCTGCAGATTGGGATCTGCCCATTTCTACTGGCCACTTGAGGCTGCTGTGAGCAGCCCCCCGCCCCCGCCCCTCCCCGGCCATTTGGGCTTGGTCTGAAGAGAGTCTCGATACCTGGCTTTCACAGAGGCACCTGCCCAGATAATGTCAGAAGAGGACTTTCCAAAATGCTTGTCAGGCCTTATGTGAGCTCCTTAGAAACACATGGTTAACACTCCTTTAAAAAAATGCTAGGCTTGTATTTTTAAATAAGTCCAGGGCTCTTGAGAGAGAGTCCTGTGCCACACAGAAATGTGATTTGAATCAGGAAAAAAAAAATTGGCTTCTGCCAGTTGTGTGTGTCAGGGAAAAAACCTCATTAAACACGGGAGACAGATACACCATAACATAAGTCACTTCAAAGTTCTAAAAGCTTTATTAAAAGTTAGTTCAATAGGCAAGTAAAGTTCAACCAATAGCATACAAGGTACTTACTTAGATTCACATTGCAATGCGGACCATCACGATCAAGCGGTCAGGTAAGACAGCTTAGCCGTGTGGCACCGACCCCCTCTTTGCAATCCTTTTTATCCACAAACCACAGACATGACTCCCAGGATTTGCAAGTGAATCATAACTTCCTTGGTGCTGATTTTACCATACTTTACCATACTTCCCTTGTCACATCTTTTCCTATCAGCAGTTTGCTTAGTCTTGCAAGTTTACATATTTCCTGTTATTGCCCTACAGGTCACATTTTAGCTAACTTGGCTTTATTAAATGCAATCAAAATTAACATTAAAACATACAAAAGGCTACTAAAATTTTCCTCTCACATGTGTTACTAGTTCTGGGTGCATTACAGGCTTCTTATTGCTTCTGCCATGAAGGGGTATTAAATGCAATCAAAATTAACATTAAAACATACAAAAGGCTACTAAAATTTTCCTCTCACATGTGTTACTAGTTCTGGGTGCATTACAGGCTTCTTATTGCTTCTGCCATGAAGGGGTTTCATGTGGCTATAATTTTTATGTTTGGTGGCCATGGTTAGGGCTGTTGGTGGCCATGATGAGGTTATTTCAAGTGGGCCAATCACAAATGTATCTTTTTCATGACCATCCACTGGCTATTCCGAGTGTTGTCAGCCAGTGTTGTCAGTTGGAACTGGACTTGGTGGTCACCATAATTCCCTTGTAGAACTACTCAGGGATAGAAGATAGTTTTTCCCCATATCCCTCCTTTATGCCTATCAGCTGTCATATACAGTGGTACCTCGAGTTACGAACGCCCCTCCTTACGAATTTTTCAAGATACTACCAGCTCCAGCCCCAAAAATTTACCTCTACTTGCGAACTCCGCCTCGAGTTACGAACTGGATCCGCGGCCATTTTCCCTGCTGCCACGCTGTCACGGCTTCCTGTGAGCGAGATCGCGGTAGCAAGGAAACGTTCGGTGAGGCTTGTGGTGTGTTTTGTGGCGTTTGGATGGTCTTTGTGGCGTTTGGAAGGTTTTTGAGGTTTAAAAATAAAATGCATATGTTTCAGAAC